AGGTTGACGACTGGGGATAGGGTGTCCGTGCTACACGGGCATGTTTTGTCTTCTCGGCGAATCTGACCGGAATGCCGTTGACATGCCGATTTATACGGTTCAAGCCACTGCTTTACAAACCTGATGGTGCAGCGTCCTCAGCCATTCAAAAACCGTCTCATTTTTAGCCTTAATTAGTGCTTATGGTCTTCTATAAACAAAACTTAGTTGCCACGAAGCCGTCAGAAAAAACAACAATTTCATGTCGTGTGCAACTTCAGTTCGGCTTTGGAAAATTATATAATTGAGCTTGAGAACTATCCAAAAGGTGAACGGAGTTTTAAAGCTAAGTTTACAGTATTCTTTCTAAGTTTTGCCTTTTTACGCTGTCGATTTGACTCACGGCGAAAACATTGTCAAAGTTAACGGCATTTTATGGTTTCGTTGAGGTGTCCGCTGACCAATAAAATACTGTATCGTGCCTTAAAAAACGTATCTCCGCGGTGTCTCCATAAGTGCAGTGTAACCCAGTGTTTTATTCACTTATTTTAAGATAACTAACATAGGCTGCACTTTAGGTGGCACACCCATGGGTGCAGTGTAACGCGGCGTTTTATTTAATTGAAGGTAACTAACATAGGTTGCACTTTAGGTGGCACACCCATGGGTGCAGTGTAACCCAGTGTTTTATTAAGATGAAGGTAACTAACATGGGCTGCACTCTGGGTGGCACACCCAGGGGTGCAGTGTAATCCAGCGTTTTATTTAGTTGAAGGTAACTAACATGGGCTGCACTTTAGATGGCACACCCATGGGTGCAGTGTAACCCAGTGTTTTATTTAGTTGAAGGTAAGTAACATAGGCTGCACTTTAGGTGGCACACCCATGGGTGCAGTGTAACGCAGCGTTTTATTTAATTGAAGGTAACTAACATAGGCTGCACTTTAGGTGGCACACCCATGGGTGCAGTGTAACGCAGTGTTTTATTTAGTTGAAGGTAACTAACATAGGCTGCCCCTTAGGTGGCACACCCATGGGTGAAGTGTAACCCAGTGTTACTTATGAGTGACTGTAACCCGGTTGTTTCTAGAGAGTGCTACCCTTTAAGTAGTATAAAGACATTCAGACATTGTCTTTCTGACAATGAAATTGTTTTGAGGAAACATTTTCTGAAGTAGCATGGTAGCACATTGTTTTGTAATTAATGCATTTTTCTAAATGTTTAATACTTTTCAGAAGATTTTTTCGATTTGATCGCACCTTGATTATTTCTTTACCACTGCTCCTTGTGCATTGTTTTTATTTAAGTGAGCGATTTTTAAGACAGAAAATGTCCTTCTTTTAATGACTTGGTGGAATAAAATTACAATTTACACATAGATATTACAATGAAACTTTTTGGTAGGAAATATTAAGTTTTTTACCAGCACAGTTAAGCGTAATTTAGTTTACCCGCCTAATCGATACACGGACGAAATTGGTCCGATTTAGAGACGACATTACAGCTTTTTGGCAGCGACTACCGAGAAACCGAATGTGCCATGGAATTACACATGCCCAATTAGGAAAGATATTTTCTCCCTTCCAGAAGTCATTACAAACCCGTTTTGTCCTCTCAAAATTGGATGTAGTTCACACATTAAAGGCGATAAATTGATAATAAAAAAAAGATTTACAATTATCCCGTTGTCAATAGGCTCTTATTTACGTATTACTAAGCTGAGTAATAAACTTTTTCTCGTGGCAGAATCATGGGGAAGAAGTCGTTCTTCATTTTAATAAGGATTTGTATAGTACTCTGTAACAAAATCGCTGACATTGTAATAACAACAACAACAACAACTTTATAAGGTACTTCCATAAGTAGTACATGGCATTTCAAAAGTAAGAATAAGTAACAATAATTATTTAGCATCATTTGGTCTTTAACAGAACTTCTTGTCTGATATTCATTATTTGAAATATAAAAGAAGAAATGATACATATAGACGGATCAGCGTTATTAAAAAGGAATAACACTTTAGAGTTATGATCAAAGTTTTCAAAGCAAGGACACTTTCTTGCGATTTTGTTGTTATCAAGTACTAATCGAAAACTATCATACAAAGGACAACAAAAAAGCACATGTTTTTCATCTTCAATTTCATTTGAATGGCAGAAAGAACAGATTCTTTGATTGACTCGGGTCTTTGGAGTCGTGTATCTTCCCGTTTCAATGTGTAATTTATGATTGCCTAGACGGAATTTATTTATGGCAATTTTGTGTTGTGGATTGTTTATTAGATCTAAAAATTCTATTTTCTTAGTGTCCATTTTGAATGAGGAGTAAAAGTCTAATTTTCTATTTGCGTTAATTAGCATTAATTGGTGGTCCTCATAGATCTTCCTCTTTAACTTTAAATAAGTAGTCCTCATATTTGTATTGCTATTGTTCAAGTTTATAGAACTTGGATCACATCTTTTCAATAAGTTATTAATTCTCAGCGTCAAACTTAAGAGGTTTCTATCAGCCAATTCTTTGGAGAGGAATAAGCATTGTTTTGCAATATCAGTGTCCTGTAAGTTGCGTAGATGAATCCAGAACTTTATAATTGATGTCTCTATAGTTAATTTCAGCGGTAATCTACCCATTTCGTTTCTAGCGGCAACATTTAGGCATTGCTTGTTTACACCTAAGGTTTGCTTACAAAAATTAATGTGAGTTTTTTCAATTTCATCTTTTTCCCAGGCAAAGAGGTCCTCTTTGTCATAGACACCCCAAACTTCCGAGCCATATAATAGGATTGGAAAAAAGAGGGAATCAAAGAGTTTATAATTAATGTCCAGAGGCAATTTGGTGAAATTAAGATATCGACGAGTTGCAAAGTTTGACGTACGTGTTTTTTCTTTCAAATTTCCATGGCAACCTTTAAAATTGCCAGAGGAGGAAAAATTAACTCTAAGATATGTATAAATGTTAACGATCTCAATAGTATTGCTATCTATAGTAAAGTTATATTTGTAAAATGTTGATTTTCTACATTTCTTTTGAAAAATCATTACTTTTGTTTTCTTTAGGTTTATAGATAGTAACCATTCATTACAAAACTTTTCAAGGGTAGAAAGAGCATTTTGGAGACCGTCTGCTGATTTCGAAATGAGAACCAAATCATCAGCGTAGAATAAGGAATTTAAGCGGGTTCCATTGGGTAGAATTATTGGGTCTGTATCATCGCGGTCCAACAGAAGTGAAATGTCGTTTAAGTAGAGGTTAAAAAGTATTTGGGAAAGGATACAACCTTGCCGTACACTTTTACTGTAACTGAGGAATTCTGTTCTTTTGTCGTCAGTCTTAATAGAACATTTTGATTTTGAGTACAGATTGTTGATTAGATCATAGAATTTTCTACCTATATTGTTTTGCAATAGTTTGTTAAAGAGACCATTCTTTTATTTATTCATTCTTTTAATCACACTCATTCTACTAAAAATACAACAACGAGAAAGAGAAAAAGTAGAAAAAAAAGATGAGAGTTCTAACTATACATGAATTTACACAAAGCAGTGGAAAGAGTGTGTAGCAGCCAAAGGAGCCAAGCTTTCGAGTTGGCCACTACCACAGAGCAGTTACGGATGGGTGAAAGTTAAATACACTTAAGGAGATAGCACATATACTAAATAGTTAAAATAGTAAAATAGAGCTCTATGATAGGTTAAAGTTGTTCAAGATGTCTGCCTGCCAAGTAGGAAGAGTTTATATTCTTTTTTAAAGCTTTTGGCAGGGAGACACTTTATTTTAATAGGTATCGTTTGCCAGATCTGTGATGCCACCACACTAAATCTTGCTAGACCATAATTGGTTCTAGAGAATGGTCTGTACAAGTTTTGATTAGTGGCATACCTAGTAGAGTAATTATGGACAGCTGAAGCTGGTTGGGCTAGATCATAGAGGACTGGAGGTATATTCTTTTTTTGATATTGAATTTTATGCACAAGAGAGCCAATTTTTAATTTAAAAATATTCTCTAATCTTAAGATTTCTAATAGTGTGAAATATGGTGTAGAACTTTCTCTTTTGCTAGCAAAGAAGATGCTGCGGATACCGTTGTTTTGACTTATTTTGATTTTATTTAACCTGGTTTGGTATGCAGTTCCCCAGCACATCAATCCATATGTTAGATATGGATATATGAGAGTATAGTACAGTTGTTTGAGTGTGCTCACAGGTAAATAATGTCTAAGCTTAAATAGAATTCCGATGTTTTTTGTTATTTTATTGTTTATGTGCTGGAGCTGAGCATCCCATTTTAAATGTTCATCAATAAAAACCCCCAAATATTTTATCTGAGATTTTTGTTCTATATTGCAAGCTGTTATTCTGATATTTGTTCTCTTTTTAAGTGAAGTAATAATCATATAAAAAAAAAGAAGAGAGTTCTAACTATACATGAATTTACACAAAGCAGTGGAAAGAGTGTGTAGTAGCCAAAGGAGCCAAGCTTTCGAGTTGGCCACTACCACAGAGCAGTTACGGATGGGTGAAAGTTAAATACACTTAAGGAGATAGCACATATACTAAATAGTTAAAATAGTAAAATAGAGCTCTATGATAGGTTAAAGTTGTTCAAGATGTCTGCCTGCCAAGTAGGAAGAGTTTATATTCTTTTTTAAAGCTTTTGGCAGGGAGACACTTTATTTTAATAGGTATCGTTTGCCAGATCTGTGATGCCACCACACTAAATCTTGCTAGACCATAATTGGTTCTAGAGAATGGTCTGTACAAGTTTTGATTAGTGGCATACCTAGTAGAGTAATTATGGACAGCTGAAGCTGGTTGGGCTAGATCATAGAGGACTGGAGGTATATTCTTTTTTTGATATTGAATTTTATGCACAAGAGAGCCAATTTTTAATTTAAAAATATTCTCTAATCTTAAGATTTCTAATAGTGTGAAATATGGTGTAGAACTTTCTCTTTTGCTAGCAAAGAAGATGCTGCGGATACCGTTGTTTTGACTTATTTTGATTTTATTTAACCTGGTTTGGTATGCAGTTCCCCAGCACATCAATCCATATGTTAGATATGGATATATGAGAGTATAGTACAGTTGTTTGAGTGTGCTCACAGGTAAATAATGTCTAAGCTTAAATATAATTCCGATGTTTTTTGTTATTTTATTGTTTATGTGCTGGACCATTATGCCACACTGAATCAAATGCCTTTTTGAAATAAATAAATAAAACAGGTAAATAGTTTCTCTTTCGAGTTATTAATTACATACTTGTCGATAAGTGTTCTTAAGGTGAGTATGTGATCAGAAGTACGATGTTCTGGTAAGAATCCTATTTGAGCGGGATGCAATCTATTTGATTGGAGAAGATATGTTTTCAGTCTAAAATTAAGAATGGAAATAAAGAGTTTTCCGAAACAGCTACTGAGACAAATTCCTCTATAGGTAGAAGGATCAGTTTTCATTCCAGATTCATATATTGGGGTAATAATTCCCTCGCACCGATAGCTAGGGAAGTAACCACTTTTTAGAATTAAGTTAAATAGTTTACAGGGGGAGTATTTGAGGTAATGAATACCGGTTTTCAACATTTCATTGCGAACTTTGTCTGGGCCAGGTGCCTTTTTTGATTTGAGTAATTTGGACATACATTCTATTTCAGAGAGTTCAACTGGGTGGTCTAAATAATCGTGTACGTGTCTCGATTCCTCCAGTTTGATAACGTCATCTTTAATGTTGGTACGATTTGTCGAAGATGTTGTGAGATTTGGGGCCTAGTGTAGTTTTTTAAAATGTTCATAAGGTTTATCAGTGGCTATAGCCATTTGCTGCAAGGAAGTATTATTTCCTTGTTTTAATGTTTTGAGATAACCCCAGAAGTTGTGACTATCTTTGGTTTGAACAAGTTGATCAATTTGATTATTGAGGAGTCGAGATTTTTTATTTTTGATTCATTTTTTTGTAAGCCTCGCGAGTCGCAGGATAATCATGCCTAACAGTAGCGTCGTAGGGATTTCGATGTTTTTTACTTGAAAGAGCATGAAGGTATTGCCTGGCAGAATTGCATTCTTTATCAAACCATAGTTTAGATTTCTTTTTCTTCTTTCTTCTTTGAGCTATTTGGAGGGATCTTGAGCAAACATCAATTATGATAATTATAAGTTGTTCTGTAGCGAGATCAACATCGTCACTATTATATACAAAAGTTGACGCCTCAAAGGAAGCTAGGAGAGTAAAGATGTCTGTATGCTTAAGGGCGATTAGAAACTTATCTTGGGAGTTTTCATCCCAAATAAATTGTCGTGGAAGATCAAAAGTTTGTGTCTTAGGTGGGCTATCAAAATGAGGGCAGGTCTGGTGACCAATCTTTAACCATCCAATTAGCTGGGAATGGTCAGAGAAAACGGTTGGTTCCTTTACTATGAAACTCGTAAATGTGTTAAGCAATTCATGACTAACAATGAAATAATCTACTATACTCACTCCTTTGGCTGAGTGGCACGTTATTTTTCCCAAAGAGTCTCCGAACGTTCTGCCATTCAAGAGTCTAAGGTCACAGGATTTACAGAGGTCCAGCAGAGAAGGACCATGTTCATTAATTTGAGAATCAAAATTTTTCCTCTTTTTGAGAGGATCAAGCGGAAGGGATATGTCGCCGGGTATGTGTGAGCACTGATCAGGATCGATTAAGTCTGGGGATGAGCCAGTTCTTATGTTGAAGTCTCCAGCTAAAATAGTGTGTCCGTCATGGTTAAATTGGGAAATTGAAGTTTCCAGAATATTAAAGATGTCTTGATCAAAGTAAGGGGATTCCTGTGGGGGAATGTACAAACCACAGAGAAAAATATCCTGATCTGTTTTGAAAAACATTTTATTTAGCCTTATCCAAATGAGATTTTTATGAATTGAAAAGAGTTTGATGCCTTGCGTAAGAGAACTTCTGAGACCGACAGCAACACCTCTGGAGGACCTAACTTTCTTTTTTCCTATATGTTTTATACTTGGTGTTATTAAGAATTCAAAGCCTGGTAAATTAATCCTATCAGATCCCCAGGTTTCATAAAATATTATTAGATAACAGTTGTCAAGATAACTTAAAAATTCATCGTCCATCAGTTTGTTCCCTAAAAGGTTATTTTCGGACAGACCATGAACGTTCCAGCTAAACTTTGAATGTAACTATTGTTGGATAATTCATTACTTGACGAGGGAATTCCGCATTAAGGTTACTTCCACCTTCAGAGGCCGAAAAAAATGGTTTTTTTCTTTTATTGGACTAGATTGAAGTTAGACATTTTACCTAACGTTGACAAAAAGAACAATTTAAAAATCCCAAAAAGCGTCCGACTTATTTAGAAAACGTATTTTCAAGTCAAAGTTAATGAATCGGGAAAGTTTCATAATCTTGTAAATGGACGAACCCCTAGGGGAATATTCGCGGCATTTCATGTCATATTTTTTATATAGTGCGCACTTGACAAATTCACACGTGGAAGTTCTCTGCCAAAGGCAGTCTTTTCTCATGGATAAAAAAAATAAATCAAAATTAAAGAGGAGTCCTTGAGTAAAGGAAGAGAAAAACAGGCCCAAAGGAGCTAGAGAGAAATGGAAACAATTTTGTCAGGAAAGAAAGAGTCCTGGCATTCCTCTCCACCCCGGCATCCAAATTGCGAACAAAGAGGGCGCCATCAACATTTGTCGTTCAGAGGTTTAAGAAAGACGTTTCCTTTCACTTAGCAAGTACCGGCCTTGATATAAAAACATAGGCAATCACTTCGAATTGTATGAAATTATGAATAACCCTTCCCGAGGGAACTCATTTCAACAGAGCGAGATAAAAAAAAACGCGACTGCTGTGCGTTACTTTTCCTAGGAAAATCTTGACTTATTGTCATTGACGCTAGCAGGTCCACTCTTCCCATCAGTTCGCGGTTTTAGGGGGCGATATAAGGGACTTTAAGATCCACTACGGCGAGGCTCTGGTACGGCAAAAGTGTGAAAGATTACTTCCGGTGGCGTCACTACTTACAGTTCGAGCAAGGTTTCCCGCCGTAGCACGGCTGTCTGATGCGGGAAACATGGCGAGTTGACGGAGTGTTCACTACGTGAGTAAACTATTGTATTTTTATCGGATCTTTTATCGTTAGAATGGAAAGGGGGCATAAAAACGTTAATTTGTACTATATTTTAAAATAATATGGGTTTTACGACGTTCTTTCAGCGAAAAAAACTTGCTGGAAGTGTGCCGAAAGATGGACAAGTCAGACAAGCACACATCGCAAGCATTGTAAGTTCGAAGTTGTTTTTACTTTTGCTCACTTCTAGTCTCTAAAACACTGACGTTTAGCGAAGTTCCATGCAACTTAGTGTAGAACGGGTGACTGCTGGAATATAGGCTGACTTGGTTTGAAAGAGAAAACTGTTTTTCTTTCGATTTTGTTCATTTTCTGTCGATTTAAGCTNGGCATCCAAATTAAATTGCGAACAAAGAGGGCGCCATCAACATTTGTCGTTCAGAGGTTTAAGAAAGAAGTTTCCTTTCACTTAGCAAGTACCGGCCTTCATACAAAAACATAGGCAATCACTTCGAATCGTATGAAATTATGAATAAACCTTCCCGAGGGAACTCATTTCAACAGAGCGAGATAAAAAAAATAAATAAAAAAAACGTGACTGCTGTGCGCTACTTTTCCTGGGAAAAATTTGATTCATTGTCATTGACGCTAGGAGGTCCACTCTTCCCATTAGTTCGCGGTTTTAGGGGGCGACATAATCTCTTGGTGTGGCGCTAATTGTTTACAAACCTTCAGGAGCTGAAATCTCGCATTTGATCTCAAGCATTCTTCCCGGCTATGAAAAAATATCACGGACAAAACTGTAGAGTCGTTCACTTACAGCCCCAGGGGCTAAATAGCTTTCCCTTTGTATTTCCTAACGATGCCGTTTCTGCGGTACAACAGAAGAACTAGGCTAAATTCCCCACAGATTGAGGGCCATTCTAGTACAACATTATTTCCTTTTATATCTTTGTGGAGGTATTATTTAGAATGCACGTGGTCTAAAGCACTACATGTCTTTTGAAATATAGAAATACAGTTTGCTTTAGTAACTACGTTGTTATCGGCCGCTTGATGGAGAGTTAACACTTTCTTGCTGAACACCATGAGTCACAAGGCATAATGGTGAGGCCTTTTGTAACAAAACCAAAAATCATGGGAAGATTTGGATGGTCCCCAAAGCAGAAGCAACCTTTGTCGTAATGTAAATCTATCCTTGCTCGTTCTTTATCCTCTGACGTTTCATTGTGAGTCATTTGCTTGACAATAACCTCGATGCTTCGATAGCGGCCGAGAAAACACTGTCCAAAGCTTCCACTGTTAACTGGAATTTTAGAAAAGTGTTCAATGTTCTCTGGCCTAAGTTCAAATTTGGATCAATTACTCGCTGTGGTTTTTTCGCAATTAAAAAGGTTTGATGACGTTTCTCGCGAGGTTTCTACGAGACACCAACAGCCATTTTAATCATCTTTAAGATAGCAGCTCTTGAGCAACCACCCAAGTCCACTTTCTTCCCCCACTGCCTGGTTTAAGCGCGAGGAAATGGGGTTTCTCGACATTTTCTGGCTCAAGATATTGGTGGAAGGACGTGGCTTCTTTTCCTTGGCCTCAGAAGTACATGGCACCAAGTCATTTGTTTCGCGGTTAAATGATTTTAGTTCAACCTTTTTATTCGTTGAATTCGGCATTTGCTTCCCTTGTTTCCTCTTTCTCCATTCTTTTCTCTATCTGTTTCTTTCTTCTGGAGTGTTTTTTCATATTTTGATAACTCGCTCTTTTCGTTTTTCTTTATCTTCAAAATCCTTCACAACTTCCGACGTAATTATGTAGCTAACTGATCTATTTTCGAAATACAAATGAGCTGGTAGTTTGGAAAATATAGAATGCCGGAATTCGGAACCGGAACCTCAATCGGAATACATGGAATACCCGGAATTCCCGAAATTCCCGGAATGACCGAGAAATAACAAATTAAAAAGAAATGAAAGTAAATAAATAAGAACATTGACGATTAAAAATTAATGGTAAATTATTAATACGGCACTGTTCATGGAGATGCACGTATTAGAATTAAAAAAAGTCTGCGTTAGTCCAGTAGCCCATACAGCCTAAGCGACGAAATATTTCTACTCTCCCTTCTCCCTGGATGGGATGCTAGACCATCACATGGTTACTCCCCGTTTTAAATTCGCCTCCGCCCATTTACACGCCTATCGGATGTCTAGCCAGGGCGCCATGACCATTAGGCCTGGACGCTTTTCCAGCCGGAACCATTGCAGAAGATTAAACAAATGCAATATTTCCAATTAGTTTAAAAAATCTCCGAACTATTAATCGACCTTAAATAATTATTAACCACATATTGGGAGCTATCGAAGCAGCTACCATTAAGACCAGCCGTCTACAGTTAGGATTGAAATTACATATATTAATGTTATTTTACTATTTTTATTTATTTTATTTATTTTTAACACTACACTTTAACTGTAAATTATCTTACTAGGGATTACATTTTTTCTTACTTACCATAAACTCACAAGTTTGTTATTACTATTATTTAAATTTTGTAGATACACTTTAGTTTGTAGGTCCACTTCAGCTTTTTAGCTGCCTTTTATCGACCTACGTGACAAATAAAGTATGTAAGTATGTATGTATGTATGAGAGATCGTCAGTTACTCGACACCTTTTCGCGTCTATTATAAATACCTTGAATATATACCTTTAAATATATATCTTGTACTGATGGATTCTTATAAACAAGGATTATATTCAAAGGTATATATTCAAGGTATTTATAATAGACGCGAAAAGATGTCGGGTAACTGACGATCTCTCAATTTTAACTGTAGACGGCTGGTCTTAACGGTAGTTGCTTTGAAAGCTCCCAATGTGTGGTTAATAATTATTAAAGGTAGAGTATTAATTTGTAATAGTTCGGAGCTTTTTACAATTGAACTATTAAACTAATTGGAAATATTGCATTTGTTTAATCTTCTGCGATGATTCCGGCTGAAAAAGCGTGGCGGCCTAATGATCATGGCGAGAAATCGGACACGAACGGGGAGAAACCATGTGATGGATTAGCATCCCATCCAGAGGGGAGGGAGAGTAGAAATATTTCGTCGCTTAGGCTTTATGGGCTACTGGCCTGACGCAGACTGTTTTTTTCTACTTGTAATACGTGCATCTCCATGAACAGCACCGGTGTTTTTTGTTTTTTTGTTTTTTTTGTTTTGGGACCCTCAGAGAAAAATTTCGTATTAAATTATTTAATTAAGTTGTGAATTTATCATCAATTTTTAATCATCAATATTCTTATTTATTTATTAATTTACTTTTATTTTTTTAAAACTTTATTATTTTTTGGTCATTCCGGGTACTCCGAGTATTCCGTTCCGGTTCCAAATTCCAGCATTCTATTTTCCAAACTACCATTCATTTACCGGTATTTCTTCATTATTTTCTGCTGATGTTGACTGAACCACAGCAGAGCAAGAGCTTGAAAGCCCACAATGCAGAACCAAATTAAAAAATATTTTGCGTGGAACTGCGAGCTGAAAACTCTTTCTCATCTACGTATACATAACTATAAGTGATGCTGTTTTCTTTCTTTTTTTTTTTCTTATCTTTATTCAATTATGAGAATCACGGAAAATCCATTACTTGACTTGTGAATTCCGCGTTAAATTGCACTTGAAAACCGATTTGACACTCATCGCTTCGCGATCCGTGTGATATCGGTTTTCGCGTGGAATTTAATGCGGAATTCCCTCGTCAAGTAGTGAATTTTCCCATAGAATTCTTCATAATAAAAATCATGGGACAATTCTCATGTTAGATAACTCCTTGGGTTAATGAGCATCCCTCCTTAAATAAAGTTTATTGATTGATTGAGTGATTGATTGATCGATCGAGAAGTCGCGACAACAAATCAATTTCTACTAGTCCGTTAGTGTCGAGCCCTCAATGACAATTTCTGAAAAAAGAAAAAGAAAAAGAAAAACATTTAGGGAAAATATCTCCAGTTGAAACATCCTATATTTTGGAAGTTTC